TTTTCCTTTCTTCTCCAAAAGTCAAATTGAGCCTAAAGATTTACAAGTTGATGTTCATGATAGATCTTTGAAGTCAATGGTGACCTATGCAATGCCTTGCTGCCTCAACTATTCCTTAAAAACATGATTTATGAAAGATTTAATCATAGTAGAATTCCTTAGAAATGAATTAGACCGCTTAACATATTTTAAGAAAAGAGAGAGGCCATCTTACCCACCAATAATCCTAAAAGATTTTGATATGTAGGCACTAAGAGAGAGAAATATAGGATTGGAAAGGGAGGGAGAAAGCATAATAACCCTAGGTAACTCTATTGATGTCCTTATTGCCTAATCACTTATGAATACATCTTTTTTTAGGTTGTGGGTAGAGCACTGTACCATTACTCCTAAGAAATTCCATCCTTCAGCTTAGTTATATAAATTAGGAGTAATTAGTACAAGAAAGATGGATATACCCCACCATTAAAACTAATACACCAAAGTTATGTTAGCTTTTTAAATGATTCAGAAGCTGTAGGGGAAGTTCACCAAAGCTGGTCTCCCTTTTTTTTTCCTTCCTTTTTTTCAATCTCTATCAGGGAAGAAAGGGCCACCAAGCTTTATGCCATCATAGATTCCATAGTTTTGACTCTAGCTAGCATTCCAAAGCAAGTCTTCACATGGGTTGTTTGTGATCTTACACAATGGCTTTTGGCATAAAGCAACAAAGTTAGCTAAAAACCCATCTGCTCTTAAGCTTTATGCAATGCCCAACTGAAGGATTCCCCAACCTACTTGAATGATTTGTTCTCTTGCTTTGCTTAAAGAGAAGCTATAAAAAAGGAACCTCTTGTACCAAAAAGACCTTTTTCCACCTTCAGATCCTTCACCTTCTTTACACTAACCCATGTCACCTTGGTTTGTCTCTGTCACCCTTAGGTCCTCCTTTTCTGTAGCTATAGCTATGACTCCTTTCTTATCCAACTCTTTCTATTCAGACCTGCCACCCTCTCTCTCTTTCTCTCCCCTTTATATCTTGAGATAATATGCAATGCTTTTCACTGTCACTTTTTGTTTCATTTTCTTTTGTCTTTCATGTGAAGTGATCCACAGCCATTAGTGAAGGTAATGAGAGCACATGGACTGCTCTCTCCTCTCAAGAGGGACTGTCAGCTAAAGAGAAAAGATGGGTGGTAAAGGTAATAGGAAATCTCCATGCCATTACTGACTTTCAAGATGCTCTTTTAGCTTATGAGCCCTGCACAGTTTCATGCAATTAGCAGCTGTTGCTTCTAACTTAGGCTTTGTTTGGGACGGCTTTCTTACTGCTTCTTAAAGCAGCTTTAAAACTACTTGATTTTTTGCTTTGTCCTTTGACTAGTTTGGTTGTTTGTCTTTGTACTCTTCCCTTTTTGTGCTTGGCTGCTTCTATTTTGTTCATAAGTTTAATAGCTGCATGTGAAAGTCTAGTAAAGTTGGGGGGGTGAAGTAAATGGGATTGGAATTATGTTTTTGTATTAGAGGTGATGAGATTCTAACGGTACAGAGTTGCAGCAGGAGTTTTTTTTGTTGTTTAGTTGGTTCTCAGCTACTTGAATGCTATTGGATATAGATATTGTAGACCTTTTGAATGTTTTGTACCTACAGTGACTGTTGTACTTAAATCCAGAAGTCCTGTTATGTGCTTTGTTTTTTTTTTTTTTATTAAATTTTTTTTAGATGGATAAGAATTATTGTCATCATATAGCTTAGATTATTATTCACATTTTTAGATAGTTGAGATTTAAATAAGATTTTAACTAACATAATTATAATTTCACAGCAAGAATTGAAGGTTGTATATTAGTAATTTTTAGGAATTAGATGGTATATTAGTAAAGAAATAATAGATTTTTTTTTTTTTAATTTTTAACTGAGTCAAAAGTTGCTGATTAATCAACAAAAATTGTAAAAGGAAACTTTTTTTATGAACTATGTAATCATGATTTTTTTTTTGAGAAACGGGGTATCCACCTGTTGCCACCTATGAAATGGCGCTTGGCAGCGTGACTAATCCTTGGATGGCCTAGAAGAAAGAAGCACCCACCTCAGAAATCTCATGGCTCGCACTTAATTGGGCTCCACATACTAGGCGTTGTCGCTCGAGGGAAATCGAGCACGGGTTGGAGGGTTCCTAACGGTATTTGCCCATCAACCAAGTTAAGCAACCGTGGGTAATTATATAATTATGATTTTGTATTTGGTCATATTTAGGGCACAGTGTTGATAAATGAATCTTTGTCTTGTGCTTAAGCCTTGTTGGCTTGTGTTATTTGTCCAATTAACTTGTATTAATCTGCAAATGAAGGCAAAATCCTCAGCCTATTATTAATTATAAATGGAATTATTAGGAGGGTGTGACATATTATTATAATATTTTTTTTCTTAGAGCTTGACATATAATTATAATCAATATTAATAGAAAAAGAGTTCTTACTTTTTATTTTTTATTTTTTTAATATGATTGGATGCAAAAAATCAAAAGCAAAATTAAATTGGAATCTGAACATTTGGCCTCTAATAATTGGAAACTTAGCTTTGTTGCTTTGATGATAGAAACTTAGCTTTGTTGCTTTGAAGATATGGATTGCTGATGTTCCTTTGCATTATTCTTGCTTTTATTTTATTCTTTAGTCTTCTTCTTCCTTTAAATCCTCTACATATTTGAATATTTCATTATTCTAGCTTTTTATTTTAAAAATATTTTCACATTTTTTATGCCTAATATTTTTTAAATCAGTCATTTATATTAATTCATCTAAAATTAAATATTATTCTAAATTAAAATTTAAATATTAGATGTATTTCATCATAAAAAATTTTGTACATATTGGGCCACTCTTTCGATCTCCTATTTGTATCACACCTAAATCTATGATATTTTTTTTTTCTAATTAAAGCGTTTATTTATTTTTTTCACTCTTTTACTTGAATTGTATAATATTTTTAAATTTTCATATTTTCATAAATCATATATTTGTATATTTGCATTTCAGTATTTAATAATTTGTTATTTCTATTTTTATAATATCTTAAAATATAACCATTGCATTATATTCTTCAAACAAGGAGGTGCATATTGTTGATTGGCACATCCTTATAATGATGGCAATTAATACAACATCAAGAGCTTTAATGTCATTAAATTTGTCTTGAAATTAGTGCAATATAAACTTTTTTATAAACAATATTAATCTTAGCCTTTGTTTGCAATAGTTTTATTATTATTTTCTAAAATAATTTTTAGCACAAAATTACAAATTTTTCTACTAATTTTTTTAAAAAAAGTAGTAAAGTGAATTCAATAGTATTTAAAACCATTATAATAAGATTTATACAAGGCTTTAAAAATCGAATCGAATAATGAACCAGAAGAATGAGAGGTTAGCGGTTCGATTGTTCGACTGTGGTCGAATCCAATGACATAATAAATACTTATTATATTTAAATATTATAATAATGATGAAATCATTTGTAAACATATAACAAAAATTGAACATGATCAAATGAAGGAAAACCAACAAGAACGGAAAATATTATAATGACAAAAAATTAAACAATATTAAAAACAAAAGCATCCTAATCTTATAATATAATAATCATAATTATTTTATATTTTATTCAGAGGACACTTTAGGGTGATATATATATATATATATCTATCTGTTTAATACAAAATAGGGATTTATATCATGGTATTCTGGTTTATATATTTTTTAATACTTAATAATTTAAAAATTATTTTCTAAAATCTTAAATATGACATCCAACTAATTATTTTATATCTGTTTATTTATCATTTTAAATAAAATTAAAAAATAAATGAAGTAATGAGAGAGAGAGAGAGAGAGGTAAGTGGTTTGTCTGATGCAATATTACACTGAAAACCATGGCAAGTGAATCACATGCACTTCAATGCGAGCAGTATCACAATGGATCGAAATCATTTTTAAAATCTTTTGAGTCTATAATCAGATTATCAGAACGCAAATATCATATGCGAAGTCATAAAAGTTAATAAATAATAAATTTCTTTTAAATCATATTTATTTTTAAACACTCAAATTTAAAAAAATAAATTGAAAAAATGATATTACATCAATGTAAAAAAAGGAAAAACTATTAAGTATTAAATTGTTATATTTTTAATGCGTTAACCTGATTTTTTTAAGCGTAAAATTATTATATTTTCTATCTTTTACTGCTACTTTAATTATTTTATTTATAGCACGCATCATCTCTTATAATTATAATTTTAAACAATATAATAATTTATATCTGGCCATGAACATGCGATTATTAATCTAACAAAAAATAAATTGGTTCTTTAGTTGGTTAATCTCACCTAGTTATTAGGTGACTTCATGAGTCTATTGGGCAAATTCTAAAGGCCAAGTTGAGCGACTAAGATTATCTCTTACCGAACTGTATAACATTGTATGTTGTCCGCAAATCGCTGCATTCGAACTTCAAATATCACGTCAAAAATCTGTAGGTGAACAGTGTGATGTCAATATTGCCGTCGGACTGTTCACCTGCTCCCAAGAAAAAATGATTACCTTTATATTCTTCTTAGCTTCGCATGAAGCACGCGAAATAGGATAGAGATGGTTACCTTCATAAAAAAGCGCGTGAAAAAAAGAAAAATAGAGTTCCATTGGACATAAACTATCACATTATAAAATTTTACGGCGTTTTAGAATGGAAAATGAGATTTTTGGCTGGAGATGGACTAAGAACTGAACTCCAGATATGTATCTCTTAGAGTTCAACGCTTTAGGTTGCCGCAAACATTGCAAATTTTAAGTTATAAAAGATTCAAATTTGTTCTCAATCAGCAAATTCAAAATAACTTATTAAAATCTCTGCTACTTATATTAATCCATTCAACAAAAAATTTAACATCAAATCAATACAATAAAATTTAGAGGAAAAAAAAACCAAGTTTTTTTTCTTAAACTAATTGAAAATGAAGCTAATTGAAAGGCTAAACATCTTAAAGCTTTCACACTAAACATTTCTTTTAACAAATAATTAACTGCTAATTACTTTGACAACAACCACCACTAATCAATTATCAAACTAATCAAAGTCTGAGGGATTTATGTCCACTACTCTCATCATCACCACTGAAACTATTGCCGCCGGCGAGCGGCGCAGAGTTTCTCAGCATTCTCTGCCGGCAGTCACCACATGTAATTTGAAGCAGAATTGAATGAATTTGCCGTGCGGCGGCTGTTCTGAGCTGGCAAGCTTTTTCGAGCTCAGCTTGAGCCTGCTGCCTTACCCTACGAGCGGCAACTAGTTCTCTCTCCGCTAAATGAACATCTCGCAATGCCTCTTCTCTTGCCTTATCAGCCGCCGCCTTCGCCGTCTTAGCCTGTTGAGACGGTGATGCCGGCGGAGCGATGGAGAGATGGAGGTCGGCGGTGTTGACGGGGATAGACGGATGGTGGGGAAGGAAAGGGAGGAGCGATAGTGCTTCCTTGTTGTGGTTCGGTGGTGCTAGAATGAATGGTAGAAGAGGAGGCGGCGGCGGCGGTGGATCAGGGATGGTGTCGTCGTCGGATGTGGTGGGGCTGGAAGTTGAGTGAGAATGGTTGGATGGCGGTGCCACCGGCGGTGGAGGCGGCTCTCGGGTCTTGGTGGCGGTGCAGGAGTCTTGGTGTTCGATGAAAGTCTCTACTCTGCAGGGAAAATTGAAGAACGGGAATGGTGTTCGATCCGTGACCCTTTCATATGTGATTGAAGTGTTTCATATTTTGTTTAATTCATAAAAAATAATAAGAAAAAAAATATCTTGTTTAATTCATAAAAATTTTATATTCTGATTAAAAAATAATTAAGACGAATTTAAAAAAAAAAAACTTAAATCAAGATAACAATATAATTTTAACATAATTAATCTTAAAATCAACATGTTGAATATTATTAATACAAATTCTTTTTAATAATTGTTGGAATGATTTTACATTTAGCCCAAAATTTAGGTGTATATAGATGATTAATAATAATAATAATAATAATAATAATAATTATATAATATTATATATTAGGAATTGTTGTAACGATTTATTAATGAGTTTGAAGGAATTCTGTCTCTTCTTCTTGTGATTGATATTATTCAGAGGACAAAGCTGAAGTTTTCGGGCCAAAAATAGTGCCAAAGTGTTTAAGATGGAGCTTTGCCAGCATGTAATATAAATGGAATTCAAATACTAATTTATGGGTTGAATAATTTGTTAAAATATCTATGAAATTTTGATGATGATATATCTTGAATTTATTTTGAAAATATTATAATACATAAATAAATTAATCAAATTTTATATTAAAATAATATATAAAGATATCATGATAAACAAATTATCGAATTATAAAATAAATATTTAAATCGAAAGACAATTAAATAGAAATAAAAAGCAACATGGATTAACAGTCTTAACTAAATAAAAGAAAATATAATATAATTTTAAACATTTATTTTATCCTAATAATTCAAGTAAATTAAGAAGTAGATGAGAATATATATATATGAATATATCTCTTAAAATTTTGGTCATGCTATACCCCCAAAATTATTGAATTTAACTTAGAAAAAATATCATAAAAAAAATCAATCAAAAATTATATTGAAAAGAAAAATTATATTGAAGTATCCTGAGATTTTTTATATAAAAATAGTGAGGCAAAATATTTAGAATTATTAAATAAAAATTTATAATCATTAGACAATTAAATAAATTAATAGCCTTACAAAAAATTCAAATGTCTAATCTAACTTTAAACCTTTATTATATATCTCAAAATAAATTCAAAATTTTTAAAATTTATAATAATAAAAATTCTAAAATATTCTGATTTAACTTTTTTATGAAATATATTTCCAATTTAATTTAAATAAATATAATATAAAAAAATATCCAACGTATGAGTGCCTGACCTGGAGAAAACGCGGCCGCAATCACAGGAATGGCCGCGCGTGCCGCAAGTCTTCAAATGGGCCTTATAGTCGGAATGAACGGCGTAAGCCTTTGAGCAACGCGCGCAGGCCCACTGTCTATTCGCCGAGTGCTTGCGGCGGAAATGCTTCTTTATTCCGACGAGATCGCCGAGCGCGTGGCACGGGTGGTGGTGCAAGCAGGTGGCCTCCGGGCACACGAAAACTCTCTTTTTTGCCGCAGCCGCCGCGCCGGAAGATGCGAGGTTGCTTTTGACCGTTAATTTCCATGGCACTTTGTGACGCCGGCGGTGCATTTGAAGGTTCTGATCGCGCTGGAAGCCTTGGTTGCAGATGTCGCATACGTAGCGTTCTGATTCGAGGAGGGTGCGTGGGGAGAGAGAGATCACCTCTGCGTCTGGGTCTGGATTTCAATCCAATTTTCAGAACAAGTTAGAATGGGTTTCAAAGATGTTCGATTTATATTGAGATTAGTGTTATTTATATGTGATATCTAAATTTTCAATAATCTCAATACAAATCTAAAAGCTTTGAAGTCATTATTTGTTTTTTTTTCAATTTGATTCAAGATGCGTAATATATGAGAAATTATATCGCTCTAATCCAAATAATTTTGAGATTTTCATGTTCAAATTTTCATTTGAGATGGAGTATAATAGATGAGAAATTAATATTATAATCATTTTGAGATTTATCCAAAGATCTCTTTTTTATGGATAAAAATTGGATTTTGAAATCATTGGATATAAAATTTTCTCATATCACACTCCTCTGAAAAAACTAGAAACATTTTAATAAAAATTTGGCCGATATTTTCAATTTTACACTTCGTATGCATAATTGTAAATGATAAAGTAGAGGTATATACGTACCTGGGGTGCCGGCCGGCCGGCGTTTCCTTTTGTGGGTGACGGCGTTTTCGGCGGAGGAAGGCGGCGCGAATTCCTCGGGCGGAAGCTGTGAGGTTGCGATTCGGAACATTGGTTAGTAAAAGGAGGAGCTTTGCTTTTGAAGCTAGACTGATCGCTTTGATTGTAATAGAATGAAGAGGGGGAGAAGTGAGGGGTTCGTTTGGAGAGAATTTGGTGTGGTGGTGGGCAGGAGGAAAAAAAGAGCTTAGGGAAGAAGATAGATAGAAAGCTCTCTCTCTCTCTCTCTCTCTCTCTCTGTGATTGCTGTCTTTTTTATGAAGGCATTGGGCACAGTCATTAAAGAATGGAAGGCAGCTTTCTAACAGCTTTGAGTGGACTGCTCTTTGTTCTGGAGTTTCACCGTTTGGGCTTTCCTTTAGTTAGTGCAATGCCACACTTTTCAAATAAATTTTCTTATGTTATAACTAACTCTCATCGATCATTGAAAGCATTTTTCATATTATTATTTTCCTCTCTCTCTCTCTCTCTCTCTCTCTCTCTCTCTCTCTCTCTCTCTCTCTCTCTCTTATAAAGGCATCAAAATAGGTTTATGGGTCCATACGGGTTAGCCTTAGAATTTAACCCAATAAAAATTTGGTCGATCGATATCATACCCGTTTGATAAATGAATCAGCATAGGTGAACCTAAACCCTGACCCACTAGCAATTTGGATGACCCAAACCCCGTTTGATATCAAGTTTTGATTACAAATATTAAATCTTGTTAACTATAGTCTTTAGGTTTGTGGATTAAAAATAAGAAGTGCAAACCAATAAGCAAAAATTAAGGGAAAAAAAAAATAAATGGGTGACTTTAGGTTAAAATCATGTTTACGGACTAATCCAAACCCAACATGCTAATTAAATGGGTTTAAATTCTGTGCCCAAACTGACCCAATTTTTAAAATAGTCAACCGAATCCTAAATCTATCGTGGCAGCAGGTTGTTGGATCATATCATTTATTGATACATCTTGATAAAACTTTGCAAAATGTGGCTTATTAAGATGGTTGAAAAGTACTAATTTTTAAGATGGATGAGAATATTAAATAATTTAAATATATATTGATATAAAAATATTAAATGATATGTTCTCCTATAAACTTAAATTTTTAGATTGTAAGTAGATTTAATTACTACTATAACATAATGAAATTTTCTCTTTTAAGCCCTCCCTAATCATTACTTTTCAAAGAAGATCAACTTTTGTAATTATAATGTAAGTATTAAGCAATGTTAAAAATATGTTTTGTTATTAATCTTTAATTATTTAAAATCTATTTTTTCTTATATTTATATAATTTCCTTAACTTCTCATTATTAACACTTAACATGCACACTAATGAAATATTATCATGCCTATACAAATGACATTAAAGATAAAAAAGAATAGCTATGAAAGAGAACATACAATTATAAAACTAAAAGAAACACGAATTTTACAGCGCTATTATATGATCACCATATAAGATGTTGCTATTTAAATGAAAGATTAGAGAGAGCTTAATCACCGCTATCCACGTGAGCTATCTATTAATGGCTCCCACAGCTTTTTCTTCAACTTAAGTTTCACTTGGAATAACTTTCTTATTGCTTTATAAAACTGCTATAAAGAAAATGTTTTTTTGTAAGTTGTTCAAGAAAGTAATTTCATAGTATAAATTGTTTTGAAAGCACCAAAAAAATAATTATTAAACAAAAATTATGATTGAAATCTAAAAAAGCAACCCCATTGGGCTTATCAGGGTTGGTGGGCGTGGTTGGGAATAGGGGTGTCAAAACCGGATTTTGGGTCGGATTTGGGTCGAACCCAGAACTTATCTGGGTTCAATTGGGTCGACCCTAACCCAACCCAGGTAGGTAAACGGGTCAGAAACTCAGACTTGGACTGGGACCCGGACCCGACCCGTCAGGTTGCCGGGTTGACCCGACCCGACACGAGCGCATGCGGGATGCGAGCTCTCGGGCAACCGGGAAGGTGGGCGGACGTGGGCGCTTAGGCTGGCGCGCGGATGGGCTCTAGCAGCAGCTGCGCGGCGTGGGCAGCCTCGGGCAGGGCGCAGGCAACCTTGGCTGCCAGGCGGGCAGACGCGGGTAGTCTGGGTAGGTGCAAGCAGCCTCGGGCTGCTCATTCTAAACGGGTTTCTGGGTTGACCTGGCAACCTGTTGGGTCAACCCGAACCCGACCCATTTTTCAAATGGTTCGAATCCTGGAACCCGAACCTTACTCGTTTTTCAAACGGGTCGGGTTTACGTGTCGTGTCAAATATTGACACCCCTAGTTGGGAACCCCCAACCCAAGATCAATTCATCTCTCAAGCGATGCGACTCTTTAAGTGGGGAGAAAATAAGTGTGTGGTCCGTCACCTGTGAGGCTGGTTGCCGCTAGGCCCGCCGAGGGATTATTTACTCCACCAAACGTCACCTCTACCAGTGTGGCAACAGGTAGATGCCCCCGTTCCAAAAAAAAATGCTGAAAAATAAGATAGTAAGAAAGGTGTCTCAAAATATAACCTTGTCTTGCAAATTAATGTATTAAGCTGTTGGTTAATTAATTACTGCTATTGCTACAGTAGTAGGCCATGTTGCTTAATTAAGAGCCAGTACTTTAGCTTTAATTACTTTGTTTGAAGGAGTTGGTAAGTGAAGGACAAATATAATTGCTCACTTTCTGTTCTAAAATTAAATTGGTTTCATATCTTTTGCTTGCATATATGAAACGCTACAGAAAATTCCAAGAGAAAAATGTTCAACATATCAAGACATGAATGGTATACTACTATACTATCTGCCATTCTAGTTTAATGATCTTAGAAGTATACAAATTTCAACTTCTGTTTTCTAAACTAATTTTTTTAGTATAAATATGTTATTTTTATGCTAAGAAGTTATTTTTAGGGTCTAGACGAGCTGACGAGCCGAGCAGAGACCTGTTCGAGCTCGAGTTTGAAACCATGTTCGAACCAATAAGCTAGACTCATCGAGCTTTTTAACGAGTCGAGTCCAAGCCGGCTCAGGAGTCGGCTCGACTCAGTTACACCTCTAGTGAATATAGACATTAGAAGTTGAGTGTTGAAGATGAATACTTCATTTGAGATGGCTTTCTTACTATTTCTAAAGCAATATTTTAGTAAAAAAATTAAAAATTTTGTACTTAAATGCTGCTTTAAGAAGCATGTCGTAGGAAAGTCGTCCCAAACGAAGCTAAAATGTGACAATGTTGATCGATAGCTAGCATTGGATAATGCAAGATGATGGTGTTAAAGATAAGACGATGCATATGGTCTCCATAGGCTCATAGATTGGTTGTATGGATGGAGGAGATGGTGGGGGAATGTGTTTTCAGTGGCTCACAGAATTTTGGGCTCATTTGAAATATTTTGACATGAAGCTTGTTCTGATTGTAGGTATTTGAAAATTGAAATTTGTTAGACCCTTTAGCTAATTTCTGAAAATTTTAGATGCGCTCAGGAGGAGCACCCCTTTTGAGATCATTTGAACTTTAATTTAATAATGTCAAATCATCTCAATTAATTAATAGTTACAATTATACTACATTTTAAGACACAGTTAGCATAAATAAAAGGAATATTTTGTGGTTATTTGGATGAATATAAAAGAATGTATGAGATTCATTCTTTTTTATTTGGCTTGAAATAAAATGAATACAAATTCAAATTCTAAAGAGAGTGGCGGTTAGTGGTGATGGTAGTCAATGGCAGGGGCAGTGACGACGATGACAGTCGAAGGCGGGGGGTCATTGGCTAAGGTGGTGGGGTAGCCAATGGTCAGTGATAGTGGTGGCTAAAGATAGGTGAGGTGGCCGGTGGTGGTAGGTAGCTGGCAGCAACGGGTGGCCGGCAAAGGTGTGTGGCCGGTGATAGCGGTGAGGGTGGTTGATGTTGGCTGCAATTGGGGTGTTCGACAGTTATGGGGGCAGTCGGTGACAGTGGGGGCTGGTGTCGGCAACGATAATGACAATAGCGATGAATTTTTGATGTTTTTTGAAAATCGCTCAAATCCGAAGAATTTTAAATACATAAAAAATGAATAAGATGATGAATTCCAAATGAACCAAAATTGTATTTTATTATTATTTTTTTTTACTTTAAATCAAACATCGGTATTATCAAAATCTCTACATTTGATATACTTACACCCACTTTACATTAAGAAGAGTTGGACTATGCTTCCCACTACCTCATCTTGGCTCACTCAAAACTTTGGATTAATGTTTCAACCACAAATATACACACAAATTGAGGCTCAAATTCTCCTTCATAATTTGAGCGTTATTTGAAATCTAAAAATTTAGCCAAATAACTTGCAAGGTCTAAGGATGCATTAGAACCATAGCAAACAACAAAAATGCTCTTAAAATTCATCTAATCTTTTATGTTTAGTGCTCAAACATAATAATAATGTACTCAGATCGTTACTTAAATCCATAATCATTAAATGGGCCTAAAAATTTGATTAATTTAATTTAGGGTTTAGGTGCAAAGTGATGTGAAGACAAGAGGAATATGATCAGCGTGCATTGTAATTTCCAATCAATTTTTAGGATCTTGTTATTACAATCTTTGGTCAGGGGGTTATCTTTTAATTTAAAACATTAAAATTTAATGATAGTATTTTAAAGAAAAAATAATTTTTGAAGTTATTACATAAGTAATTTTTTAGTACAAAATTTTCTTAAAAGCAATAAAAAACAGTGGTCAATTAAAATTTATGGTTGTGATATGAAAATCAAAGCACTAAAAAACTAAGGAATTTTTATTACATCCGATGTCCATACGTAGCTCTATATTCGGACGCTAGTAAAATGGTGCCACGTGCTCCTACTCTTTACCGCGCGGCCCGACGACTCGACCCGGACACAGACCTGGTATTGCTATGTATTGGCTGATTTGTGCAGACCGGGATATTGCTCGGTATTGCTCGATATTGCCCGGTAACGAGAAATATCATTCTATTAAGACCAATACATAGCAATACCGAGCAATACCCCGATATTGCTAGGTATTGTTAGGTATTCCTAAGTATTGCTCGCTATTGCTAGGTATTGATCTTGATAGAGCGGTATTTCTCGTTATTGTCAAGCAATACCTAGCAATACCAAGCAATATCTAACAATACCTAGCAATACACAAACATAGCAATACCGGGTTCCGATCTGAGTCAGGTTGTCGGGCCGCGCGGTAAAGAGTAGGAACACGTGGCGACATGTTATTGGCGTCCGAACGTAGAGCTACGTCAGGACACCGGATGTAATAAAAATTCAAAAGGCGTCTTAGATTAAATCTAAGGCTTTGTTTGGGATAGCTTTAGGCTTCGTTTGGGACGGCTTTCTTATTGCTTCTTAAAGCAACTTTTTAATTAAAAATTTAAAAATTTTGTATTAAAAAACAGTAAGAAAGCCGTCCCAAACGAAACCTTAGACTACTATTTTTTCTTGCTTTAAAAAAAAATTGTACTAAAAAGTAGCTTTACAAAATAATAAGAAAGTCGTCCCAAAAAGGCTTTGGAATTTTTAATGGGAAAAAAAAAAAAGGTAAACATGTGATGGATGGTTAGCTAAAACCCAAGGAAAAAAAAAAAGCTAAAAGCTTTGAGAGAGGCTGGCTGGCTTTTCTTTGCTCCGGGATTCGATATGAGCTTTCTAGAACGCAATAAGATTTGGTTTTTTCTAATATTAATTGACTGACTCTACCTTGATTTTTTTAATTTTATGAGATATTTCAACAAGAAATCTAAGAATCTATTGAAGACCCTTTGAAAAGCCATTAAACCCATGATGAAGACTTTCTAAAAAGAATCAATAAGTCAAATATAACAAATAAATAAAATCATTTGTATATCATTCATTTTGCATTACTATATTTTAATATTTAATATCGGCTTTATTGATATATACTAAGTAGTATTATGTATAAAGAACATCACATGACAAACAAGCTATAATTTTGTCTTGGCTGATTTTGTAAATAGAAATATAATATATATCCACTTAACAAGGTTTTGGCTGATTAACAGTGAAGTGGACTATTGATCTTAATTATATAACTATTATTCTATCAAAATATAATATACCCTCATAAAAGACTAAAATATTCAAGGAAGAAATGCAAGTCGACATATAAAATTTTGTAAGAGAAGTTATGTAGAGATAAAATATGATTCATTTCATAATTGTTTAATGATATAAATTGTTTTGGATTATATTGTTCTAAATAGAACAATAATGACATCATCATCAAGCTTTTATCACACTATATTGGATCAGCTACATGAATTTTTTTTTTTCTTGTTGTCATGTTAAGAGTCAAATTCTCGTTTAAATATATTTAAAAATGTCATTTCTAATACTTGCTAGCCAATCTTTTTAGATCCACCTCTACCTTTCTTAATATAGGTCAAATCTAATATATCTTCTCTCCTAATCGGATCACCAGAAGAATAATATTTTAAATGATCAAATCATCAAAGGCGACTCTTTTTAATCTTATTTGTCACTGGAGCTACTCCAACCTTTTCACATATATACTCATTTCATATTATCTTCAAGAATAAAGCTACTCATCCCACTGAGCATCCTCATCTCGACAACACTTAAATATCAAAGCATTCCATACAAGATTTTCTCCTTGTTATCTCTCTCAACAAGTTCAACATAGCAATTTGCCAGTTTGTTTGTCGGAAAAGCAAGGCAAGCATTTCATAGCTTGTGCAATTAAAGATGTTTAATTATACTCATCAACTTAGCACTAAGTAATTCATCCGTAGAGGACTACAAAACTTCAATTCTATTCTTTTAGCCTTTTTGCCTCTTTTTTCTTTACTTATTTGATTGTGCCAAAAGCAACTTCTAAAGTTTGTAGCTATTTGCTATCTAACGCAAAGAGGAAATTTTTTAGCACACAACGGATTGTTTTCACTTCCCAGTTCATTTTCTAGATATCCAAGAGGTTAAGATAAATCCAAAATCTAGCTAAAGCAAGAGCTCCTTGATCGACAAGTCTTCTTAAAAGAGAAATCAATATACTTTGATTGGGTTTGTTGCTGTTGAGTGCTGATTAAGCTTAGGCTCATAGAGATTCGTTCCTCGTTCTCTTTCCTCTTGATCTTTCATGGGTAACCCTAAAAATTCTACTTTCATACTTATAAATGAAGATTCACTCACCGACTCAACCAATTACCAGATTCTTAACAATTTTTGGCTCCCCATCGAAGACCACATTATGATTTTTTATGCGGCACAATAATTGAAAAGAGGCCGAAAAACTCGGAATCAATTGCCACTGAATTTCTCTTCATTTGGACATAACATCAGTATTCTTGTAAGCCGAGCTCTACTCACAGATAATGGTGCCTAGGGGTGCAACCGAGTCAAGCTGACTCGGATTTGACTCGGTAAAAGGCTCGATGAGTCCAGCTTATCGAGATCGCGAGTCGATCTCAAACACGATTTCGAGCTCGACGGTTCATCGAGCTCGAGCTCGAACATAACTCAAACTCAAGTCGTCGGCTCGACAAGCAGCTCGCGGAGGCGACAAGGCGGGAAATCCAAAATGATGTACGAGCTCGTGACTGCGACAGATGAGCTCGGAACGATTTCGAGCTAGAGGGAGGGCACGATGACAAGCTCAGATTGAGCTCTACTGCGGATCTCCACGATGACTCGATGACGACGGACCTCCGACTTCGAGACAACAGCGGACGCGACGAGACGAGTCGAACTCGAGCTTGGATTTTGAGCTCGACTCGAGTCCGAGCTCGGTGTTTGGCAGTCGAGCTCGACTCGAACATCCCCTGGCTCGAGCTCAACTCGACTCGTTTGCACCACTAACAGCGCCTAAGCTGAGCATTATCGTCAACTTAAAATCAAATAAATAGTTATAAATACAGAAGGAAAAAAAATGGAAGTAGACGAAGCAATGAAGTGCCATGAACGAAATGCTGCTTTTTTATAACAAAAAAAGAGGTTCAAAGTGCAACAGTATTCGTTTACAAGAAAAATTCGTATGAACTAATAAAATAACAGTACAGGAGTTCAATACAAACAAACAACTAACAGTTTTAAAAGCGATGGCAGTAAATACCTCCAGAAAGCGCTTCCGTGACCGCCGCATATTTTGCCACCCTCCCATAGAATAAAACATGAGCAATAAAACACGAAGAGGGATCGTAGAACTCGTGAACAAAATAACCCATCAAACTTTGTAGATGATGAAGAGAGGATTAAGCTGCGTTTTCGTTCAGTCAGTGGAGGGTTTGGGAGAGCTACTCACACTTGATGGACCGGTATATATGACGAACAAATAACAGCGAGGCTCGGAAACCTATGGTACCAAGCATGAGGAAGAAGCCATAGCAGATGCAGGCCATATAGCCAAAGAAGAAAGATGTTTGCATGAATCCAGACATGTCAGACCGAGCATGGTAGTAGTAAAAGCAATACGCATATATGAACAGACCAGTAGATCCTCCGCAAAGGAATGCCCTGCATCCAATCAACACCAACATAGAATCAGAATATTGTGGGATTCTAGCTATAAGAGGAACATGATTCAATTGTTTAAGAAAAACAAATCAGGGATTGCTAAGACTTAAAGAATGGTATAACCCAACCTAAATTTTTTCATAAAAAATGTGAATATGCAAGTAAAGAGGGTTGTGTTAGGCTGGTTCAATCTGAACCGACCCAGCCGGCCTTTGGGCCGGCTCAGGTCTACAGGAGGTGGACAAATGCCACCTCCCTTTCTTCATGCCGCCCACAATAGTGAGCCCCACTAGTCCAATTGAATTCAAAATTGAAAACGAGGGGGCGGCTAGGGTTGGGAGGGAAATTAGATTAGGAAAGTTTATGTATTAAAGAGCATGAGATGTTTTAGGGTGAGGTTATGCTTGATTTTATTTCACTTGGGGTTCCTTCGACTATCTCATCTAGAGATTTGGGAGAGACGATCATTCTCTCTAATTGAGGATCACTTGTATCTTGTTTCCGTGCTTGTTTGACTTTGATTTTCATATTGCAATCTATCGTTTGTGCTGATTTCTCCCAGATTTTGTGCTATTCTCGCAATTTTTCACCAATTGGTGATAGGTTTGCTTGCGAACTCAAGTATTACCCTTAGGTTACTTGTAAACTCAAGTATTTCCTATCAGGTTGAAGCACACATATTATAAATATAATTAAAAATGAGATAATTTATTTGCATGAATGGATAGTTTATAGCTTAGCCTACCTCCACCACCATTCATGGTCTTCAGCAGCAAGCTGAAAGTAGGTCATTGCCACGGTAATAAATGCTGTGACAATGAGAAGAATTATGAAAACCACAAAGAGAATACTATAAATGGTATAAATCCTGTGGCCCCACACACTGGCAAAGATGTAGTAAAGCTCGATGTAGATGGCGCTAAAAGGAAGAAAACCAGCCATTGCCATCTGTGGTAAAGCTCCTCTATACCAAGGAAGCTGTGGAATTTCTCTAGGATATTTGGTAGTTCGGCAAGGAGCTTGGAACTCTGCTTTGCTGTTTTTACCAGCAATCCCACCCAAAACAAGAAGAGGAGACGTTACTAATGCCCAAATGAGAAAAATAACAACAATGGTACCAAATGGTAGCGCAGCAGTAGCATTATATGCAATAGCTACAGTATTCAGGAAGCTGAATGTCAAGAATAGAGGCCCACAAAAAAGAAATCCAGTCAAAAGCAGATTCCTCACCTGCAAACGATAAGAGACAAGTTAGTACTAAAACTTCTCTTTACATTAACCGATGCGAACTTTCAAAATATTATGTGTGTTCAATCCATAAATGGGTAGACAACAATAGTTAGGTAGAGATGCAAGTACATAATAACCGTACCCAGTTTGTTCCTTCCAGCTGACAGTAGAAAGAAGTGGCAACATAACCAGCAATACCTGAAGTTAGTGCATATATAACCACCAATGCAGTAAAAAGTGCTCCTCGATTGTAAGGGTAGAATACCCCCACCAGGGCTAGGATAAATACGAAGGTTGTACTGGAAGGCATGCCATGAAAAAGAAAATACTAGCTGAATTAGAATGAAATTGCCATAGCTGGAAATTCTTTCTTTACAAATAATCTAATTTAGGAAAGGATTAGGAACAAGCACAAAAGAAGCTACATATATGTGCACAGGCGTGTATGTGTTTGTGTGTGTGTGTGTATATATATATATGTGTGTGTGTGTGTGTGAGAGAGAGAGAGAGAGAGGTTAGCTCGATATAATTTGTTCATGTGAGCATATTTAGTAGGCTTGAAATAAATTGAATTGATTTCAGCCACTTAAAGCTTGTTTGAGATGGCTTTCTTCCTGCTTCTTAAAACAGCTTTCTAGTAACAACAACAACAACAACAACAACAACAACATCAAGCCTTTATCCCACTACGTGGGGTCGGCTACATGAATCCTTTTTCTCCATTGTGTCCTATTAAAAGCCAAATTCTCGTTTAAATCTAATAAAGAAAGGTCATTCCTAATATTTTCTAACCAAGTCTTTTTAGGTCTACCCCTACCTTTCTTAACACAAGTCAAATCTAATACCTCTACTCTCCTAACTGGATCGTCGGAAGGCCGCCTTTTTATGTGACCAAACCATCTAAGGCGACTCTCTCTAGTATAAAAATTAAATTTTTTTACTAAAAAACTACTTTAAGAAGCAGTAAAAAAGTCATCCCAAACGAAGCCTTAAACTCGAGCGATTATGAAGTAAGTTTCAAGTTTCAATCATGTTGCAGTCCTAGGTGGGGAGGGGGGAGTAATTTAATGGCCTGTGTAAAATACATATATAATGAGTTCAAGTAGGTTAGAAATGAATTGAATTGATTTCTGGTCACTTAAACACAACCGATTATGAAGAAAGTTCCAAGTTTCAATCATGTTGCAGTCCTAGAAAAATTACAATTACAATTGAACAAGATCTTATGATGAAGACTTACAGAGCAAATAACTGTGTTCCAGAACCAAGACAGGCAGCAAGAAAAGACTTGTACATAGGGAACCTAAAGACATCACCATGAACATATTTCCACCCAGTTTCTTCTTGGTCATCACCTGTCTCCTCATCATGAGCATACCTAATATAAAAAACATAATAATGATAAGAGCAGCTGCAATTCAGGTGAAATAAAAATGTATTTGCAGATACGAAACAAACATGAGGATAAATTATCACACGTTAATAATCTTACAAACTAAGTCCGTATTTTAATTCAGTATATTGATTGTAAAGGATCAGCAAAAACAAACTGGGGGGGTGGGGCCAAGAGCAGTGATGTTTAAGCATTGGAGACAGAAAGCTTTAAAGCGAAAGCAAAAACACTGCATCACCTGTGCTTCACTCTAATCGATGCTATATTAAGAAGCAAGTGTGTGCACTTTGCTTCCGATGCACAAAGCTATTAAAAGCACGACTATGATTCATAGTTTCTTACTAATGTGTTTAACAAAGTGCGGATTGTTCTACATTACTGCCATCAAATTCTGCATTATTTAAAATCATTACACTTCTATTGGCGTATCGCAATATCTATTCCCTTTCATTCTCATTTAACTTCTCTTTTCTGTCTTTATTTTCAAATTGTGCATGACTGCATTTTGACATAATGCTAACAAAATCCAAATTCATATAAATAGAAATGTATCTACCGGATTTGACAAGCATCCACAGCATCGCGTGAGACTAAAAATGCAAATCTGGAACTGCTTACAGCTGAGTTTTGATTTAATATTTCTTTATTTATTTATCATATACATACATATACCCCGAAAGCTAATTTCACATTTAAAGGAAAAAACTCAAAGAAAAGAGATCCTTAACAGTATGAAAAAGAACCCAGACCTAATAAAAAAGTTACTATTGAATAGCATCTATTGTTCAAAGAGATGCAGGTATTTTTTTCACCAGTTAGAAAAAAAAATGTCCTAAGAAAGCAAAGAAACTGACTGAATATAAAATAAGAATCCCATGAAGTCATCACATATGGATGAAGAGAGTGATTTCCTAGGAATAAGTCTATTGAGTTGACAATGATAAAGGAGATTAGCTAGATTATCCTCAAATACCGGTAGCAAAACACAAATCAATGGAGATAATTTGTCATCATAGAGACCCAGATAGGCCATTCACTATATGGCAAAATGGTCCGAGGAAACTAATATCACCAGATAGAACAGTTAACACAGCACAATGGTTAATATCCTGTTCGTTGCTGCAGTTTGCAATACATCAACTGCATGCGTCAAGGCAATGGAAAGTATATAACAATACGAGGGTCCATATTTTCTACTAGGTTGATGCAACAAGGAAATAGGTGGTAGTTAGGATGGTTTTGGATAGTGCTACAAATGAACCGCACATTTGACAAGCTACTCGCGGTTCGACTCGATTATAGCTCGTTAGGATCGTATGATTAAGTAATGAAACAAACTTAAATATTTTTTAATAGTTGATGGTTAAATAAACAAGCTTGAATAGTTATATGTTGAACTTGTTTATTTTCATAAAAAACATCGTTTAAAGACCCTAAATAAGCTCAATATGAAGCTCGATTCATTTTTGTTTGGAATAAATACATTTCTTAAGATTGGCTTAAATTTATTTTTACATAATTTTTAGTTTTATTATAATAAAAGGTTTTTTATAAAAAAATAATTTAATTTTTATATTATATTTTTTCATTAAACTAAATTTATTCATGAATAAGAGGAATTTTTTCATGTTTATTGGATTATTTGTTTAAAATATTCATGAACAAACTTGTTTATAAGAAGAATTACTTTCTGAGCTCTTTGTTCGTGAATAACCTCATTCAGTAGCTCTAAAATACTCACTAGATATATGCATGAACATAACCCTTTGATAGCTAAAAACACCTGCTAGATATATTTACGAACAAGCACTATGGTAATTGTTTGTTAGTAGGCTCAATAAGTCTCATTTGTTAAACTAATGAGCATCTAGAAAGTAAAGATCATTAATAAATCAATAAGGCGCATTTAGAGCTTGATAAGCATGAAATGAACCAAACATGAATCGAACATAAACCAAATATGAACATCTATCATTTTAAATGAATCAAACTGAAACATAAATAGAAAAGCTTGAATCGAGCTTGAACAATTTGATAATAAACGAGCTCAAACATGAACACGCATCATCTTGGCTCAGCTCGGCTCGTTTGCAGTCCTAATTTTTAGAAGACCACATGCAATTTTTACTCTTAGTAATCAATAATAGTCTCATTGAAAGTATGACACAATTTATGTTATGCTTAGTTTATTTTCTCCTTATATATGATCATCATTAGAAGTTTTATCAAAATTATTTGAGGCCAATTTTATGAATCCTCATTTTCTATTACTTCCTATTGAGTGCTTTCTACGGCGTTGAAAAACATACTTCAAATATTATTTTTAAACAATTTCTATCCATGTAACCGTGTACCTATTCTACTTCATATCCTCTAGAGTCCATTTTATCAACTGATCTAATAAGTGTATTTTTTATCCTTCACTGTCTATGTACAAATCTACATAATGTTGGCCATTAAAAGAGAAGCATAATATTAAGTTAAGTATTGTAGAGATGAGGATGCTCAGCTAGTGAGTGACATTACTCTTAGAGACAGGATATGAAATGAGCATACACGTGAAAAGGTTAGAGTAGCTCCAGCCTCCAGTGGAAGATAAGATTAGTGAGAGTCACCTTAGATGGTTTGGTCACTTATAACAACGGCCTTCTAATGACCCGGTTAGGAGAGTAGATGTATTAGATTTTGGTTATGCTAAGAAAGGTAGAGGTGGTCCTAAAAATACATGGTTAAAAAATATTAGAAATGGCCTTTCTTTATTAGATTAAAATAAGAATTTGACTCTTAACAAGACACAATGGAGAAAAAGAATTCATGTAGTCAACCCCACATAGTGGGACATAGGCTTGATGTTATTGTTGTTGTTATTGTTGTAGGTGGAGAAATAGGCAATGAGTAAAATGAAAGCTCCACTTACTTTTGTATTGATCTCATTCTTTTGTTATGTTGGATGAAATTTAAAAAAAAAAAATCATACTCACACATAAAATAACAGCTGCTCTCGACTCAGTTCATATACTATTTTTTTTATATAAATCAAAACAATATTTTGAAAAGTTAAGTGGAGGAAATGTTTTATGTAATATAGCGAGAAAAATAAAAATAAGAACTAGAATGGAGGAATGGTCCTCTGCTCTTTTTATAAATATCTGTATAGCAGCCATTTGGCCAATGTCTTATTTCAAACCCATAAGCAATAGATTATGTCTATATTTGTTTTCTATTAGAGCCTGCTCAAAATTAGATCTTAGCAAGCCACCCTTGGCTTGAAATTGACTCAAAAGTATTTCTGAGTCATGACATTGAGATAGAACTCTAGTTGTGAGGGTTTTATTTGATGATGAATCGACTTAATTGCATCAATTAATTTACAACTGAAGTAATAGTAGAGCTGAGTTTCAACCTATGAATCTTATTGCCAACCCTTCATTCTACGGAACATCTCTGTTCAAGTTATAATCAAGATTAGCTATATTTTGTCGAAAAATGTGAACAAATTATCCAGTTTGTACTACATGCTTATCTATTACCTTATTTTTTGTTGAGCCACTTCCAAGAAGGGGAATGAGCAAAGAAATTGGGATGGTGAAGATCGGAGAGCATATTTTGAGGAAAGGGAAACATGGAGGGATCACAACACCCACAACATTAGAGGAGGAAAAAGCAATTGGAGCAGTCGCTGAAAATGTTGGTTCTTTAGGGAGAAGATGAGAAACTCGCCATAGCCGCTCTATGTTTGGAGGGGAAGGCTTTGTCCTGATACCAGTGGAGAGTCTTACTAGCTCTGATCCAATCATGGAGGGAGTTCATATATTGCCTACTAAAACATTTTTAAACCAATCGAGAAGGAGACTTTTATGAACAGTTATTTGCTCTGGTGCAAGAGGGGACAGTGGAGTACTAGGAGAAGTTCGATTACTTCTCAAGCTGATTGGGAAGGTCGTCAGAGATTGTCCTAGAGGGGAACTTTATGAAGGGGCTCAAGCCTGATATTCGAGTAAGTGTTCGAGTATTGAGACCACGTCACTTAGGGGAGGCTATGGAGTTAGCCCAGCAAATACAGGATAAGAATTCCTTGGAGAGGAGTAGTCATAGCAGCAGTTCAGGAGTCTCCTACCACACAATCACAATATTTCTAGCACCAAAGGTGCAAACAGTTCCTATTCTGAAGGAAGCCTCGAGGAATAAAGGTCGTGGAGTACAACCAGGGAGAACTTCAAGAGGTTGACTGAGTCAAAAATTCAGGAGAAGAGGGCTAAGGGTTTATTCTTTAGGTGTAATGAGAAGTTCGCTCTAGGCCATCTTTGTAAGGACTAGGGGTGTCAATATTTGACCCGACCCGAAACGTCTCGAAAACTTGACCCGAACCTGACTCAAAAATTTCGGGTTCGGGTTAGAGAATTCAACCCGTTTGTAAAATCGGGTCAGGTTCGGGTTGACTCGGAAGTCCGAAATCAATATATGAAATAAGTAAATGATTTAGGAGAGTTTTAAAAGATTGTTATGAAATAAGTAAATGATATTTTTAAAAAATAATAAACATTATTGCCCAAATTAAATTAAGCTTGATTTATTTTAAATTGATTGAAGTAAATCTTACATTAATTTGATTTAGGTTTAAATAAATCAAATTAAGTAAAACAATTTAGTAAAAATACATGAAGCTGGTCAAGTTCGGGTTGACCCGGACCCGAAGCAGGTCAGGTTCGGGTTCCGAAAACCGACCCGTTTGCCAAAATGGGTCGGGTTTAGTTCGGGTCGAATAGTGTCGGGTTAGTTTCAGGTTGGACTCGAACCCGGCCCGTGACCTTATTTTGACAGCCCTAGTAAGGACTATTCATTTAGGGGTGTAAATAAGTCGAGTCGAGTTTTGATAACCTCTCCTAAATTAGGGGAGGAGCAATTAAGCGAGAATTCAAATTCAATTATTTGAATTTGAATTTTAAATCTCTTCCTAAATTAATGGGCTAAATTAGGAAGGGTGT